CGGAATATTTGTCAACGATTAGATATTTTGCTTACCAAGATATATTCTTTTAATATTGTTAAGAAGAAAATTAGTACCGCGCTGTAGAATTCGCGCAACACTAGTTTATCGACATAAACGTCACATCTCTAACTGACAGCTGTCAATGTCATTAGGGTTGATTTTTGCGCGCATTCCTGACGAGATCTCTAGTGAAATGTTTAAATTAATATCGCTAGTTACAATTATATTAATTGTTTAATATCGATAACTACTTTAAGTTGAATACAAATGTTTTATTATATACACATAAAGCAAATCATTGTAGCAGAAAAAATCTCAACTATAAAGACCTTTCTGGATAAGCCAAGTTTAAAACTTATTGTTAAACAAGCTGTTGGCGTTCGACTTCATCCGCATGAAATTATGAAAGTTTTATTATTTTGTTTAGATGTGTTAAATTATCAATTGCAAATGTCAAAATGACATGACATGATGACAATCCTTGGCAATCTTACTTTCTTGATGTTGGCAGCTTGTAGCCTATGGTCCCTTTCCCACATCAGGGTTTTTACCAATTTAATTACCCTCTGAGTTTAAATGTGTGATAATATATAGCGTAAACCGCGACGTAAGTGTGGGGCTTTTTATTAAAGCAAGAATTATTCAAAAATATGCTGTAATCACTGACATCTTAGGCAACAAAGAAGTGTGTGTTGACGCTTTATTATAATAGTATAGATAGATACTGCGAGGTTGGTAGCCTCCAGCGGGTTGTAGACGATGGGCTCCATGACGTACATCGAATTCGTTAAAATAGTGATAGTGTAATATTTATTACGTTTTTAGGTGAACTGCATATCAACGGAATTCACAGCGAAGAAGCACGGCGGTGAGAAGGGCGTGCCGTTCCGCATACAAGTGGAGACGTACCTCGCCAGTGACGACCTCAATAGGCTGCATGCCGCCGCCTGTCAGATCAAGGTACGAAATAATTACATCTACACAGAATTTAAAGAAAGAGTAACCTATAACCAAAGACATTCAAATGTATAGAGGCGGCATTGTTGAAACTTCATTTGAGACATTTTTCACATAATCAATAACTAAAATCGATATAATATCGATAATCGATATATAATATCGATAAGTGTTATTATATGTTTCCTTTTTATTTTAAAGTTCTGTTTAGTTTCTTTTTAAAAAAAGATGGAGATTATTATATAAAATGTTTAATTGTGTCCATTTGAGGACACGAGGTGGCATTAAACTGATATAGTAACTTTCAGATAAAGTAGGGGTGATAAAATGTTGTTCGCTATTCCTCGTCTATACGTTATTTTAATGTGTCTGTTTCCAGTGAAAGTTCTGTCTAAATCAACCCAACCGTTTTTAAAATTATACGGAACAAACGCAGTTTGTAATACAGACGGATATATTAAAAAATGTACGTTTTTAATAAATGTGTAAAAACAACTCTTTTAGATATTAAATTAATAACCTTACTGCGTAAATTAAAACAAGACTACTCAATCTTTAAAAAACACTAATGTTTTATTTAGCATTTATTGTATAAAACAAGTTTTAAATTGATTTTGTATAGTTAAAAGGTAAACAAGGTATTTATATAGGTGTAAATGTAAACTGTGTTAGGTGTTCAAGCTGAAGGGAGCGGACAGGAAGCACAAGCAGGACCGCGAGAAGGTGCTGCGGCGGCCGCGCGCCGACCACGACAAGTACCAGCCCGGCTGCGACGCCACCGTGCTCACCACGGTAACTGCACACCCCCTATAACCATAATTTACTTGTTAAATGACTAGCTTTTACCCGCGACTAGCCCTATATGCCTATGTGTTCTTCCGTACCATCCTCTATATCTATACCAAATTTCATCGAAATCCGTTCAGCCGTTTAGGCTACAAACTCTAACAAATATCTCTAATAATCTAAGATTACTAGAGAAATAATTATGATTAAATTGTGTGGTGTGAACTGAGTTACAAAGATAACCGAAAACAACAATCTTACTAATATTATAAATGTGAAAGCCTACATGGATGGATGGATGGATGTTTGCTAGAGTCTGTAGCCTAAACCGCTGAAAAGATTTCAATGATATTTGGCGGTGTCGTAAATGAGTTTAGAACACATGGGCTACTTACTTATTTTATTTTTGACGCGGACGGACTCGCAGGTGAAAGCTAGTTATTAATATTAACTAATAATTGGCAATCGATTAAAAATTAAATTTTTACTTAGCAATGAAATAAAAGAATAATGGGCCAAAGTAGATAATTTCGGTTCTGAGCACGACTTTAATCTCAATAAATATCGAATATGATCAACAAAAATCTAATCTAAGTGCATTTGTCAATAGCTCTCAAATGATGCCATGATGCCACCGCCGTCGCTTGTCACCACTTCACCACCGTACTCACCAGAATTATGGTAAGCACTTATTATCACTTTCAGTAATTTTAGCGATTCAAGGACCGCTGAGCGCAGAATGGCTCCCCTCGCAACATTTTACTTTAATCATGAATAATTAAAAAAAATGCAAACCATACTATGTAAGTATCCGTAAAAGTACATTTTCATTGTCAACATGCTTCATATCTCCAATTTTAACTAAAAATTGGAGATATAAGAGACTCCATTATTTAGGATAAATAACGTCAAGCGCTTAAAAAAAATTATTAGCAAGTGCAAATAGAAAGTATTTTTTTTTTCTAATAAGAAGACAACAAAGTGTAAATGTAAATATTTCAGCCAGACATAAAGTTATGTACAATAAAAAAAAAAAGTATATCATAAAGAAAGTTGTCAACCCTACAACATCTTAACAATCTAGTCTGAGATGTAATTTAGGTAAGAACAGGGTAAAAGCAGAGGGGATATAAACCAGTGAAGGTCTGCATCGAGACTATCCGCAATGAACCGGTTACGCGCCGTCGAAGCCCCATTTACCGGTTTCCATGCAGCCGCGGCGGTTTTTATTGATGATGCAATTACCAGACAGTACGGATGATATTGTTTAATAGTTATTAGACATATGTTTTTTTTTATGTAAATGACTTTAAACTTACTCTTTCATAGTTTTTAAAATTGTATCTAAGCAATGTATATTACCAAATCCCACTAGGCTCCTTACAATCCCTACAGATCCCATGAATAACTCAAAAACGACTTGTCAATTTAAAAAAAATAGACCACATTTCGATAAGTATTTTCTTTTAAATAAAAAAAAAGAACTCATTACTAGCCCCCATTTCACTCATGGGCTTGATTTCTACTTGATCGACTGGCAAGGCTCTTTCATTAAGATAAGAACGGACGGTTTTGTACTGTGGAAACCCACGATTAAACTACTCTGACGTCATAGTTCTATATATGCATCGTAGCGTAGCTTGATCTTGTTTAGTTAGTCCTAACAATGTGTTAATCACAGGACGTACTGTGAGTCACTCAGCTATTGTCGTCTAAATGATATACAAATTGGTAAATGCGATGCGCCACTAAATGGTCACCGGAGCTGAGGACAATCAGTCCATTTACCCTTGATCCGACTTCTAGGACTGTGTTTAAATCTATTACAGAACAGTCGAGAATTTTACCAATACTAACAAAAGGTTTTTGGACGATATTCGTCCTTATGATGAATTTGCCCTATTGTTGAAAAATGTCAAATTTAAAAATACGCTGAAAAAAAGCGATAAATTCGGCCTACCCACAGGCAAATACCGTTCTTGGTTTATGTCATTTTTATCGTATTTTGATAGTGTTTGCTATATCGCTTTTGGAGGAGAGGCTCTGTCTAGCCTGTGTTTTACCTATCTTATCTATCGTTTGGAAATACTAACGTAAGTGGTTTCCCGTGTTAAATGGCTATATCTATTTAGTAGAACTGTTAATAATAAAGTAACTTTTTATTTATTAAATTACAAATATTCCATCTGAATATCATCCCCAGAATGCAAAGCACATAAAGAAAATATTAGTGCAATCAAGTTTAGTTTTAAATTAAATTCATACATAAATATAATGAGTTAATTTTTAATTAGTATTTTTTAACTAGATTTAAATTCAACGACTCGAAGATGTTGGCTGAGACAAAAATGTTTTACCGCTCATTCTCTATGACCTTTCTCTGACCCCGCTAGTGCGGTAATTCATCGCACCGAGTACCAATTGCAGCCAGCGGCTAACAAAGGCACCTTGCACATTTCACGCTGTAACTACTAACGGGGTCATTGCAGACAACTCCATAACTACCACAAGTATAATAAATTCAGGCGCTACTTTTTTCTTCAATGCATTAAACTGTTTAATTAAATAGGTGTTAAAATAAAAGGCAGGTTACATAAGCTGTCACTGTGACGTAACAAAGGATGTGAACAGATTTAGGAAACGATTATCGATAATAATTGTTATCGGTTTGCAAAAAATACCTATAAGGCGCAAACTTTTACGCTTTTTACTTTTTAAGAATATTAACGTTATGTTATGCCTTGCATGTAATCGAAATATTATTTTCCAGGTCACAACATTGCAATAAAGTGTTATTTAACTTGTATTACGTCGATAGGTTTTCAAAATAAAACTGTTACGTCACAGTTAGTCTTGTAGCTTGCCTTATTATGAAACAAATTACGTTACCGTACTCAACGTTTCGGCTGTTTCGTAGGATTTGACCGAGATTTCCGTCTTTGCAGTTAAAACAGAGGTCATAGACTAAGAAATTGAGAAATAACGGAAGTTTTTTCATACAAACATTTTACACAAAGGAAGCAACTTAGTTTGACATAAATATAGTCTAAAGTTGTGAAACGGAACATCTGAGATATTATAAAGAATTTACACTAACTAGTATTGTTTATACAAAAATTGAAAAACCCGATTTGACAAGCATCTGTTGTTAATCTCTGCGTAACCGTCACCAGGTTACGTACCGGGCCAATTGTTTAGAAAGAAAATATGACGTTACAGGTTGCAGATGTAAGAGTTTTCAGCAAGATCCATGTAATTTTATAGGCTTTTACTTTTATATATTTGGTAGTTTCTACTTTCAGATATTCAAAATGTTGCAGCCTATACGTTTGTAATTCTTTATATATTTTATATGCAAACTGTTGTTACTTTTACAATTTGGTACAGAAGTCAAACAGTTTATCTTTGCGCGCTCTGCTAGATCCATAATGGCATCAGCGTGAGCGTAACAAAAATATACGACATGCGCACGAAAGTATCTTGTCCCAGTTTTCATAATTGCGCTGCGCTATATTTAGCCGCATTGAATTCGCCTCTACCACTTCCGACGGAGAACTCAACCCGTTCGAAGTAGTTATGTTTGGGTGATGATTATTTACTGATTACTTCTAGTTATGTTTATTACGTAAACAAGGATTTAGTTAAACGTTAAGACTCTTAAAATTTAATTTATAAAGACCACTATTAATCCGTGTCATTAATTGGAGACTGTAGAGATTCATTTAAAAGGGTCAAAAGAGATTAGAAAAACGCAAAAGCACTTAAAAAAGACACACTCAGAAACGTCATCTCGAACGATTTTCGCGCCTTGACCATCGACAACCTAAATTGCGTCAGTGCAACGGAAACTATTCATACACAACATTGTACTAAAACTTCTTAGCGATAATTCAAAAATAATGTAATTTCATACTTTTGCCCTCTTTACGTCATGAATATTGTTTTTAGATTCATTATTTGTTTATTAATTTATAGACGCTAATGACGAGAGGAGAAACTACGATTTACAAATACTAATGTTGTGTCAGGTCGGTTTATTTTGCTTCTGCATCGTGTAATAGTGATGCCCTTCACTGTGTTGCATTTATTCTCCCCACTAAAATCTCATTGGATGCACACATGCCTTACAGTATGACAGCGTCCTTTCTTCGAAATAAGTAATAGCCCGACATAAAACCAGTTCATGCGGGTTTAATACTAACGTATTACCCGAAATTGCACAGAGTATATATAATATCCGGTTTGTTGCCGATTTGATGTTGATAAAAGTTCTTGCATAACAATAAAACGTTTTAATTCTCTGCTGTACCCATACCAGAACAGTCCTTTGTCGGAGTATTTTTTTATTCTTACTGGAAAAATGATATATAATATCGATTAAAAATGTTATTGCCCTTCACTAGTCCGCACCGCATGACGTTGTCCAATGCAACGCGAGCCGGGTCCGGCCACTGCGAACCGATTCTAACCGGTTTGGATCCAATCGACAAACGCGCCTCACTCAACCAATCAGCGGCCATTCAGCCCAGTCGTTTGCCTTCCGTCGTACGTTTGTTGCGTTTTGCTTCTGTTTTCTTAATAATATTTGCTTGTGATATTCTGCAAATTCGTAGACTGCTTTCGAACTGAGTTTATACTGCAGTGTTCCATTACGTACGGTTTTAACTTACACAACACTGAAGATAAGAATATTTGACAACGTTTTTATTCGTCATTTAACGCACTTCTTTTGGAAATAATGTTAGACAAGTGAACAAAACAGACAGTAATTATATTTGTTGACGCGAGTGCTTTGTGGAACCTTCGGTAATCGTGACAAATGGTTGTTGAGGCGGCCCGTGGACCAGCTATGGTGGTGGTTGCCGGCGGCTTGGCGTACCGCGTCGGTTCCGGAGCCTTTATCTTCTTCAACCTGACGAGACAGGACTATAGCTGACGAGTATTATGCTCGTTCTCGAGCAGAGACTGAGTGCGCGGCATTTGGGGCGCGGGGTCGTTCTCAGAGCTCGGCTGATACACGGCGTCGAAGCCCGAGGTTGGCGGATGAAGTTTTCGTTGTTGAAAGCCGAGGTCGAGATCGAAGCGGACCCTGATACGTACAGAGAGCTGGCACGCCGGCTGAAAGCTGCCAACGTACACGTCAGGCCGGCGCGGCTGTACTCACGACTAGCGTAAATATCCGGATTTTACCGAATTTTACTACATTTTAGCAACACATTGCCTTTCATTTGGTCATAGCACTTCAATACATCTTGTATTTTATAGGATTAGTATCTTTGTACGCTTACATTTTATTTTTTTACATTTGTGAATCAGCTGATATTGCACAAACAAAACATTTATAGTGCCAAGAGGAAGATCCAATTAACAACACTGTTAACTTGTTAAACAAGGTACCTCCTTCCAAAAATGTAACATTATTCTCATTGTAAATATTTTCAATTATAAGATTTATTCAATACTGTTTAAAAAGAATCAACGATTAGTATGTTAACATGTGCTAGAACATACTCTATATTGTAAATTTTTATTACAACAAAAATAGTTTTTTTAACTGCTTCTTGACAGACAGATAACTTGTGTTAATGAAAATATTGTGATAATGGTAATGCAACTTTAGTCTATGCCTTATTTTGGCCATATACCATTAGTTTTTGTATTAATTGTAAATCTGTAATCAAACATGTAAGTTTTTATCTAAATAGATTTGTTTGGTTTCAGTGTGGCCCCTAAATCTGTTTCAAGTCCTATGGTGGTGAACAAACCTGCACTGCAACAACCTGGTAAGTAACAGTAATCAACTTTGTATACAATTAAAACACAAATATAATTAAACATGGATAACCGAGACTGCATAGAAGTTCTATATTTTTTCTTGAATGTGGTTTCTATCCAATCTAACATGAGTTTCTCACTTATAACCACCATGACCATGCAATGACCCTCGATTGTAGAGGTTACTTACTTGTTTTTTTTAATGTTGTTAGAAATCAGTATGTACTCTACATGCTCTACATGCCAAATTTCATTCAGTTGTTTACCAGGCAAAATCTAAGAAACTATCCATCCATCCCAACTTTCGCATTTATAATGTTAGTAAGATTTACATAGATATCTTGTGTTTTCATTTTATTTATTAATAAAATGTTCTCTTGCAGCTATTCTTGCTACAACCAACCAGATGAAACCACTTTACTGTCAAGAGTGAGTATGTCTTATTACTATTAGCTAAAAAGTTTATATAAGATATATTAATCATTTAGATTAATAAAATGTTGGTTCAAATGAAAGACATTGCATCTTTGCGGCAATTAACTTATATTTAGACAGCTACAATGTAGTTGCAATACAATGTGCGACAAATTGGTTTACACTGATTGCTCTGTGGACTAATGTTAAAATAATTATTGGCAGCTTCCCGAGGATAATGTGTATTTGTGTGATTTATTTAATGTTCACTTACATTTGTATTACTCTAAAAGGAGCAATATTTAATATTTACTTAATATGTATATACAGTGGTGGGGATGTGAAAGTGAACACTCCGCAGTGCCACTCGCCGGATGCCATCCTGCCTGACCTACCACAGTCAGCGGAGGATCCTGACAAGGTAATATACTAGCATTTTCTTTTTATCAGAGGTAGTTTCCGCTTATAGGGATTAAAATGAAATGTGAGGAAATAACCTGTGCTCTTCTAGACCGTGTTCTCGATGGACTTAACAAACATCCGTCCACTCTAAATTTCGCATTTATAATATAAATATGTCCAATTGTGTTAATCATAGGTATTGTTAGGTTTCGATTATAAAAAATATTGTATGCATGAGTTATGTACTCAGTCTTTATAAAATTACCCTTAGTTTAGTATACTCATGCATACAGATCGACGTTACAAGGTGTAGTATAAAATGTTACATGTCGAATTCATGCAGTTATGTTGAGGAAACCAAGCAATGAGCCACACTATGTAAATGTAACAGGGAAAAGTGGAAACGAATGGAGGAGGCCTATACCTGGCTGGGGTCATAACAATAATTCACTTTTTTATGCTAATTATATAAACTATATTATGTAACATTACACCTAAGGTGACTTTCAGTGATTAATTAAGAATTCTGAGTATAACAGAAAATACATATTAAGTTATATTTGCAGAGCGGTGGTCTGTCAAAGGAGGCTTCATCAACGGAGACTCAGGCGTGGTTGTCTCAGCACCGCTTCTCCCAGCATGCACCGACCTTCGCCAATTTCTCTGGCGCGGATCTGCTGCGGTATGACGCTTGCATATTTTGAAATAATTAGAGACAAGCTAGCTTTCTCCCGCGACTCCGTCTGCGTAGAAATAAAAAGTAAGTAGCGTATGTGTTCTTCTCTATGTCTGTGACAAATTTTATCAAAATCCGTTCAGTAGTTAAGGCTACAAACTCTAACAAACATTTATCTAAACTTTTGCATTTATATTAGTAAGATATTGTTTTTTTTCTCAGGTTATCCCGTGACGATATTATCCAGATCTGCGGCCTAGCTGATGGGATACGTCTGTTTAATGCTTTGCATGCAAAGTGAGTGACTTGTGTTTT